CAGTGGGCGGAGCCTCCCGCCAGTTTTACTACCATCCGAACCGGGGGCAACCCATCACTGATCATACATCTTAAAGTGCTTTGTTGATATCTAGGACGCTGGCAGCAACCCGTATCAACCATTAGCACCAGTCAATGGTATTTGTGACATATTTTTAAATATTCAGTTGACTTGAGTTTCATGTTTAATGAGTAAAGTATATAATAATAATCCTTCATCAGTATGTAAGCAATTGGGGACTACAGCTGGTTTGTAGGCTGCTCTCTTTCATTTATTTATTTATTTATTTTTGTTTGAGCCGTCTCTTTTCAGGTCAAACTCCTTTTGGAAAGTTTGACTTTAACTTCTTCTTTGGAAGTGAAACAGGGGACAAAAGTTGTGACTGGGATAGGGCATCCGTAATAAAAATGCAAATGCGTTTCCTGATTGGGTCAGGAAAATAAGCCGAGCCTCAGCTGATGCCTGAGGCAATCAATCCCCTTATCTCCCTCTGCCAAATGGGTTACTGCAGGGCATTCACTTACCAGATTCCTGGACAGATTTTGCAGAGTTAACAGATGCCCCAATGACAACATCTAATCTAGGAAAAAGCTGGGAAGGTCATTGGTTAAGCAAATCTTTGATAAGCTACCAAAGTACATCTTTCAATATGGCTAATTCGGAAGGGGTGTCTCTCTCTTTTTTTCCATCAAGTTTTTATTATTTTTTAAATTTATACATATTGTGTGGATGGTGTGGTGTTTGAGTATCATACATTTCAATACAGATAAAGATATTCATAATTATTACGTTCCATTTTCCTTATTCCATATTATTTACCCCTATCTTTTACACAAAATTTTTATTTTCATATAAATATTAACAAGTATGCAATAACATCTAAACCGATATGCTTTAATGTCCACCGTATTTCTTTTGTTATAATTTCAACAGTATAACCCTCAAGTAGAAAAAATACGAAATTGTCTGTCTGTTTTCTTTTCTCCTGTACACCAAATTTCCCAATTTTACAACAACAATCCATCTCCTTTCCTCTTCTTTCTCTCAGGGGTGTCTCTCATCTCTTGCAACCAAACTCTGGTATTATACTTTTATTCAAATTCAGCCTTGGCACAAGAAATAAATCTGTGAATATGAAGGACCTGGATCCATAGCAAACTCCCTCTTATTTTAATACTCCCTCTGATTAATGGTTATTCATTAAGTTTATTACAGCCCTAAGGGCAGATACAAACAAAACGTTTAATACAATCAATAGTACATCCTTCTACATATCTGCATAACAAAGGCAAGTGCAGTAGAATTCTAAGAATAATTAAGGCTAAAGATACTAAAATAAATCCAAATAAAATACTATTATATTGGCAGTCTTATTTTGTGACCGAAGTAACAACGAAAAAAGTGACTTATGATCGTTTTTCATGTGACTGCTGCAACATCCCCATAGTCGTGTGATCAAAATGCGGACACTTGGCAACTGGCAAGTACTTATCACAGTTGCAATGTCCTAGGGCCATGTTGGCGAATCTATGGCACGTGTGCCATAGGTGGCACGCGGAGCCATATCTCTGGGCATGTGAGCATTGCCCTAGCTCAGCTTCAGCGTGCATGTGCGTGCTGGCCAGCTGATTTTCAGGCCTTCTGGACCCACCGGAAGTCGGGAAGCAGGCTGTTTCCGGCCTCCGGGGGAGGCAGGGAAGGCCGTTTTCACCCTCCCCAGGCTCCAAGAAAGCCTCTGGAGCCTGGGGAGGGCAAAAAAACAGGCCTATAGGGCCCACCGTGCCATCACATGCCAAAAGCAGGGGGAGTGCGGAGGGGTCACGCACACATGTGCAGGGGGCGGGGCTCATTGAATTATGGATGTAGGCATATATGTGCAGACCCCCCCTGCTTTCCCCCCGCTTTTGGCACGCGACGGCAAAAAGGTTAGCCATCACTGTCCTAGGGTCATGTGATCCCCTTTTGCAACCTCCTGACAAGCATGGTCAATGGGGAAATCAGATTCACTTAACAACCGTGTTACTAACTTAATAACCTCAGCGATTCACTTGACAACTGTGGCAGGAAAGATCATAAAATGGGGCAAAACTCACTTAGCAACTGTCTTGCTTAGCAACAGAAATGTTGGGCTCAATTTTGGTTGCAAGTAGAGGACTACCTGTAAGACGTTACAAACCGAAATAATGGTGTGGCATTTTGCACAAATGGTAGAACGAAACTGGGTGACTCGAGAGGTTACTTTTGAGTCCTTGCCTGAAAAAATACTATTATTAGATATTTTGTTTGTATCTGGCCTTAGGTCTGCATGTTGCCACACCAAATTTTTGGAAGCTGCTGTTGCTTGAAGAATTAACCGCTGTTGCCTTTTCACTGTGTTTTTCTTTTTAATATGTTCATAGTACAGTGTTACAGTATTTCAGTTTCATTTAAAGTATAACTTGGATTGATGTTTCAAACAAACTAAAGAAAGAAAGAATTTGTCAGTAAGTTGATAGTACATGTAGATCAGTAGTGGGATTCAAAACCGGTTCGCTTGTGGGCGTGCGTGCGCACAACGCTTCTGCATATGCGCAGAGACATCTGGGCGGAGCCTCCCGCTGCTGCCGCTACCGGTTTACCCGATCTGGAGCGGACCGGTAGCAATCCACCACTGATGTAGATATTTCACCCAATACTGGTAAACATTACACATATTCATTGTATTTTTTTTTAAAAAACCCAAATACTATAGTTGTGGAAGGGGTTGTAAATTAACCCCGAGTTTCAAATGTGCTTGGTAATTCAAGAGTTGGATTCCCTGATTTGAAAGAGAGAATAAAAACAAATATTTTTGATTAGGTATAAAAACTAGCCAATTTTTGTAGCTCCTATCAATAAATTAATCATCCTTATTTTCAGAAGTAGCGTATAATTGTCCATTTTATTAATATGAGCAATGCTTGAGTGCTGTTTGACACAGAAGGCAAGCCCAATTAACCTATTGTTCAAAAACAACAATAAAAAAAAAAAACCTAGGAAGGAAGGAAACGTCCTTTCCTGCAGCCAAAATCCCACTCCTGCAGCCTGGCAGATGAACAAACAGCCAATTTCCTTCTCCCTGGCACCAATTATGTTGTCTAGCCTGGTGATAAATTATATCCAGGAAAGCAGTTGAGATCAGTCAACATCATATCTTACAAAGAGAATGTGTATTTCTTCTAAAAATTAAAAGAAGTCAGGCCTAGGAGATTATCCGTTCATGCCAACCTAAAAATCCCTCATGAGATTGTTTTTGTTTTTTTTTAGTTGAATAGAAACTGTGTCACGTTCCGGCCGTCAGCAAGGAATTCAGAGAGCCAAAGATGGTTAACTGACAAACTTTATCCAACAAGCTGTAACAACTGGCACAGACAATAGGCAAAGTCAGTGCTAACATGGTTAATCCCTCCATCCTTTAAATAGCGTCAGCTCCACCCCCACAGCTCCATCCCTGGGCCCTATCCCTATAACCACCCCTCATGTGGCATCCTCCAATGATGACGATGCAGCCCAGTGTGCAGGGTATGTACGCTGCGGACGCACCACACCGGCCTCGCCACCCATCCAGCCCTGGCAGACTTCTCGTGGTCCTAGGCACCTCTGGGGAACCTGCCAGGATTAGAGTTACGGTTAGCTGAGGCAGATCTGAAGATGCCAAATTTTCCATGAGGTGCTGAGCTACCCCCAGTAGGGTTGTTTCAGTGTAGATGCTACAGATTCCCTCCAAAACTTTGGCATGCACAGTGCTGCCCTTCGGCTAGCTTCGGCCAGTTGGCAAGAGAAATAAAGGTAAAGGTTCCCCTCACACATAAATGTTAGTCATTTCCGGCTCTAGGAGCAGTGCTCATCTCTGTTTCTAAGCTGAAGAGCCAGCGCTGTCCAAAGATGTCTCCGTGGTCATGTGGCTGGCATGACTCAATGCCAAAGGTGCACGGAGTGCTGTTACCTTCCCACCAAAGTGGTCCCTATTTTTTTAGTTGCATTTTTTATGTGCTTTCGAACTGCTAGGTTGGCAGAAGCTGGGACAAGTAACGGGAGCTCACCCCTATTATGCGGCGCTAGGGACTCGAACCGTTGAACTGCCGACCTTCTGATCGACAAGCTCAGCGTCTTACCCACTGAGCCACCGTGTCCCGACGAGAAATATTTACTAATAAAATCCTAATTTATCTTGTTTTAGTTTTTTATTTATTTATATCATATTAAAAAAGAAATTGGACATGGTGCGACCATCCTGGCGTTATCTCCGCCATACACACTAAAGTATACACAAATATCTTATATATTCAGCATATCTTGCTAATTATATACACATATTTGACCCCTTATATACCCTTATATTTACATATATTAATCACCTTTTGGTTTATACATCCTAGTTATTTTCCCTTGCTGGCGTTTCAGTTGGATAGAGAATCTGCAGCTTGCTCAGCAGATGAATTACTTCTGAGATAATTCAAATCAGAGGTGGGTTTCAGCAGGTTCTGACTAGTTCTGGAGAACTGGTAGCGGAAATTTTGAGTAGTTTGGAGAACCGGTAAATACCACCTCTGACTGGCCCTGCCTCCTTCTATTCTCTGCCTCCCAATCAGGAGGAAATGGGGATTTTGCAGTAACCTTCCCCTGGAGTGGGGAAGGAATGGAGATTTTACAGTATCCTTCCCCTGCCACGCCAAGCCATGCCACGCCCACCAAGCCACGTCCACAGAACCGGTAGTAAATTTTTTTGAATCCCACCACTGATTCAAATTAAGAGTTTTCTCACTGAGGTTTTTATATGATTCCAGATACCTGCATAGGAAAGGATGAACATATTCATCCGGATGGCATTAATAAAATCAGGTGGTGTGAAATGTTAGCTTTGGAATATTTTAAGACACGTTTTGCTTTTTTAAAAACGAAATAATTAATGGAGGAAGCATGCATTTGTAAGGAATATTTAAATCTGACATCTCGTCTCATGATGCTTATATATCTTTCAGCGCAAGCTTGTGCAGATGTTTTCGGTCTAGCCAAAGAAGCCAGGAAACGAAATCTCGGTCCTCTTCACCCTTCCTTCAACGTGATAAAAATAATAAGAGACAGCCTCTGCAAAAATCTCCCCGAAAACAGTTACAAATCGTTATCAGGGAAACTTTCAATTTCTCTAACGAGAGTGTCTGATGGGGAAAACGTATTAATATCCGATTTTAATTCTAAAGAAGAAGTGGTGCAGGTATGTTCTGTACTGTCACTAATTTTTTTTTTACCATGTTATATTTACAAGCCTGAGGATCTTGTCCCTAGGAATCACCTATCTCAGTGATGGCGAACCTTTTCGGCACCAAGTGCCCAAACTGGAATGTGTACGCATATGTGCGCGCTGGAGCGCCGGAAACCCAAAAATCAGCTGGCCGGTGCACATGCGCGCGTCGGCCAACTGGTCTTCGTGGTTTCCCACATGCGTATGCGCGCCAGCCAGCTGATCTTCCTGCGTGCTGGAGTACAGAAACCCAAAGACCAGCTGATCGGCGTGTTCATTCCTGTTTTTTGGCCGTTTTAGGGGTTGTTTTTGGCTCGGAAAAATGGCCTGTTTTTTAGCTGTTTTTGGCCATTTTCTGGTGTTCCGGCACCCACCACGACCACCTGGCTGGTGTGCATGTGCACGCTGGAAATCAGAAAAGCAGCTGGCAATGGCGTGCGTTCCCACAGAGAAGGCTCTGCGTGCGACCTCTGGCACGCATACCATAGGTTCGCCATCATGGACCTATCTGATCATTTGAAAGGTTTCCCTGAAGGAATTGGATTTGTGACCTGCATTGTTATAAGTTGATTTCCCCCCTGCCATTAGAAATAATTATAGCTAATCTTTATTTCTTTAAAATCTTTCATAGGCCCTGCTTTGTAGCTCATTTGTACCTGTATATTGTGGCCTCATTCCACCTTCATTTAGAGGGGTGGTAAGTATTGTTTATTGGTTATAAATCAGCGTGGGATTTGTTGAGGTAAACTGAGCTGAGACTTGCTGTAATTTGATGGGACAGCAGTTTCCTCTTCAGAGTTAAAATGTGGTAACTTAGAGATTAGCTCATTTCCTTTTGTCTAAACACTGGCGAATCTAGTCAACTTCACCGTTGGAGTGAAGGAAAATCATTCTGGCGGAAATAACGGATATTATTTACAGGGGTGGGAAGAAGTGTGAAAGAAAGTGTACCAATAAGAAAGCTCTGTGAAAATATTTTGATTTTTTAAAAAAATCTGCATATTGAATGGCAGGATCATTTGATTTAAAACTAGATTTTTTTTACGTGATGAGCAGTATAGGTAGTCCTCAACTTACAACAGCTCGTTAGTAACACTTCAAAGTTACAACGGCACTGAAAAAAGTAACTCATGACCATTTTTTACACTTACAACTGTTGCATCCCCTCCCGCCATGGTCACACGATTTATATTGTTGACAACTGCTTCATATTTATGACAGTTGCAGTGTCCTGGTGTCTTGTGATCATCTTTTGTGACTTTTTCTGACAAGCAAAGTCAATGGGGAAGCCAGATTCACTTAACAACCAGGTTACCAACTTAACAGTTGTGGTGATTAACATGGCAAGAAAAGTCATAAAGTGGTATTGTGGCCCGTCAGCGGCCTGTGCAGCTAGTACGCTGATTCCGACAGCGAGGAGGCTGGTGTGGTGCTGCACCAGCAGCCTGTGCAGCTGGTACTCGAGTCAGACAATGAGGAGGCTGGAGAAGATGTGGTGCCAGAGGTGGGGATTCAGCCAGGGCCTTCAGAACCTCCAGAAGCTCCGTTAAGTGAAGAGGACGAAGAAGAGGAGCCTCTTCTCGATGCACGGGCGCGCAGAGCTGCCAAAAGGCAGGAGTGGCTCCTCAGGAGGAGGTCTCCTCGAGAGTAAGGCTTGGGGCTAATTGATCACTCCCTTAGCCTATTTAAGGAGGAACGCTGACTGAAGCAATTTGCAGGGAACAACTTCGTTCACATACCTTCGTGTCTTGTCTTGCTTATCTTATCAGCTTCCTGCAAATTGTTTCTGGGCATTCTGCCAACCACAGTAAGCTTTCAGTATTATTCTTTGAATTCTTGGCGGCTGTTAATGCAGTTAATTAACAGCCGTTGTTGTAAAAACTGGTTTATTTAGTAAACTAAGGTTTGAACGGACTTTGTGTGTGCTGCGTTCTTTGGGGTCCGTAGCTGGGGCAGAACAAGTGGGGGCAGAATTCACTTAACAAATGTCTCACTTAGCAGCAGAAATGTTGGACTCAATTGTGGTCGTAAGTCGAGGACTACCTGTATTCTGTCTCAAAGGTATAATAGTGCTTTTTTTAAGTGCCTATCTTTTCCTCAGGATTTTTAGAGGGAGTTTGGATGATGCCTGTTGTTTAAAGAACAACAATGTATATCAAAATCGGAAACCACATTGTCAATCTTCATTAGTTATGGTCGGGGTGGGCTAAAATATTTAATTTTATGATCCCAAGCCCCTCTTATACCTTGCATTCTTCACTCTTCTTACTACCTAAGACTTGTATCATGTTGCATTTTGGGTGGAGGAGGTAAGATGGTATGCAAGTACACTACATTGATATGTGAGTTCATTGTGCTTCCGGTTAGTGTGTACCTACTGCAAGATTCTAGACTTAAGTGCTAGATGTGTGTAGAGATTTGCAGGGTACAAATACTCTTGTTGATTGGAAAGGGGACTGTTGAGAAATGACCTGCATAACTGTAAAAAAAAATCCTCTTGAAGATTAATGCTAATGATTAATCCTCTTACCTTAAAGTCCTCCCTTGTGCAATGTATTTCAGGGCCAGGCATGGAAGTATCTGCATCTTGGCTAAAAAGGAACTATGTCAGTATTAATCATTACTTATCTAGTTGTTGTTTTTCTGCTTTAGTAAATAAGAAGGGTAAACTGATCCAAGTGTTCTGGAGCAGATAATAGCTAGATCAGCGTAAGTCCCCTCCCCCCCCGGGGTGAAATCCAGCAGGTTCTGACAGGTTCTGGAGAACCCGTAGCGGAAAATTTGAGCAGTTCGGAGAATCGGTAGCAGAAATTTTGAGTAGTTTGGAGAACCGGCAAATAAAACCTCTGACTGGCCCCAGAGTGGGGTGGGAATGGCGATTTTGCAGTATCCTTCCCCCAGGAGTGGTGAGGGAATGGAGATTTTGCAATATCCTTCCCCCAGGAGTGGTGAGGGAATGGAGATTTTGCAGTATCCTTTCCCTGGAGTGGGTGGGGGTGAGGGAATGGAGATTTTGCAGTATCCTTTCCCTGGAGTGGGGTGGGAATGGAGATTTTGCAGTATCCTTCCCCTGCCATACCCACCAAGCCACACCACGCCCACCAAGCCACGCCCACAGAACCGGTAGTAAAAAAAAAATGGATTTCACCACTCCACCCCCCCTCCGTCCTTTGCGGCTGTGGGGCCTGGCTGGGTGTGAGGCTTGGCTGCGGCTGTGGGGCCTGGTTGGGAAACTGAGCCACGCATGCAGCCCTAGCGTGTGTGGCAGGTCGGCGCGCACACACGCAGCTCGACTTGCACAAGCAGAGTGCTGGTGTGCATGTGCACAAGTGCCCGCCAGCCCACCGTTCACACAAGTTAAGCTGCGTGCACATGCACACATGATGCTGCCAGCCACTCACATGGCCCAGTTCCAAATAGGCCATGGCCCAATAGTGGGCTACAGCCTGGGGGTTAGGGATCCCTGAGCTAGATCAGTTTGTGTATGACAGTTTTATTTTCATGTAATTTTTCTTACAAATACCTGAGTGTTGTTTTATGATACAAATATTTTTCTGGGGGAAAAAATTGCTCCCATGTTTTTTTAAGTGTATCCATTTAGATAGATTTTCTTAGTTTACTTGACCTGGACCATCATGTAAAAGAGTTTAGCAAGGCGAGAAATATAATACGTGCTTCTTGATTTTTCCAAACACACTTTTGTTTCTCTGCTATAACTGAGTAAAACCCCTGTATTGCTTCCAGTTCCAATTCTTAGTACAAAAACACCATGAATTGTTTTTAGTTAAATGGACAGCTGAATGAATGAATGAATGAATGAATGAATGAATGAATGAATGAATGAATAAAATAAGTAGGTAAGTAGGTAAGTAAGTAAAATTGGAAGACCAACATGTTACTGCTATGGAGTGTGGAAGATGGATACAGTAGAGGATTGAGGTCATAAACTCTGGACAGAAATGGCTCAAATTAAATTGTTGAATAATAGATTGATCCTGATTAAATGGTAAATTAAAACTTGACAGTCAAACGGTAGTCTTTTTTTTTTTTTTAATAATTTTTATTAAGCAATTTTTTCCATTTTATAGCACAATTTTCGTCATCTTTGCAACATTTCAATATTGGTATATATCCGGTATAAATACATTTCCCCCTCCTATATCTATGTAATTACATACATGTGGTTCCCTTATATATACTAGTATGTTCATTTATATACAGTACATAGTTATTACTGTTAAGTATTTTTTAACATTTTACATTTTTTATCACATCATACTATAATACTGCATGTTCTTCATTTATTTTTTTATTTATACTTTTTTACTATTTTCTAGCTCCTTTATCCTCTTTCTTTGTTAATTTCCTAATCTGTACATCTATTATCTAACCAGTTATACCATAGATTCCATATCAAACAGTACTCAGTTTCTCCTCTATCTTTTATTTCCATTGTTAATTTATCCATCTTGGCGCACTCTAACACTTTTCTTTATCACACTTTTCTCCGATATGTTTCTATTTTTCCAATTTTGCACATAGACTGTTCTGGCTATTCAAACGGCAGTCTTATTTAAATTCTAAATAGAACAAGAATTTTTTTTAAAGTGATAAACATATGTAGCAATTCCTGTAAATGGTGAGATGCGGTAGGTTATATCGGAACCAAGTGTTTATTAATTTTGGCAATTTTAAGACGTGTAGACTTCAGTTCCCAGAATTCCCCAGCCAGCATGCTAGCTAGAGAATTCTCAAGAGCTGAAATCCGCAACTCTTAAACTTGCCAAGGTTGAAAAACTCTGCCAGTATCTATCCTTTTTCCTCATTAAATTTTCTCCTGTTGTTTAGAAAATAGGTTTGGTTTTAAATACTTCTTCCCTCCACCCCAATTCTTGTAGCTTTTCCAATTTGGAGAAATCCTGTCACATTCCTATGAATCCGAATAAATAATTTCTAGCAATTAGTAAGTGTTTTCTAACATTTTAAGCATATTTTGCATGAATCAAATGCGATGAGTTTTTGCTTAAGCGAGTACAACTTTTCATGTTTCTCCTCTTCTCTTCCTTAAAGCGCTACGTGGACGGTGGATTAAGTGACAATTTACCTCGCTATAATTTGAAGAACACCATAACAGTTTCTCCTTTCTCTGGGGAATGTGACATTTGCCCCAAGGGGAACTCTGCAAACTTCCACGAGATGCATGTCACCAATACAAGCATTCAGTTTAGTTTAGGGAACATGTATCGTTTAACTCAAGCACTTTTTCCTCCAGAGCCCCAGGTATTGTATGTTCAACATTGCCTATTATGTGATCATTCTTTTTATTGATGCTGGTAGTGACCTTGAGAAAATGATATACATATTTTCCAAACAACTTCAGTTAATGTTCCGTAATCTGCGACCCTAACCGTTGGCTAAACTGGTTGGCAGAGATGGAATTGGCAGGGTAGAAAAGTTCTGTAGTTCTGTATATTGGAAAAAGTGCGGATGCTGTTAAATTTATAAAAGAGCATATTGAAATATGTTCCAGTACATTGTAGAAACTTTTTAGGAAGCTCTTAAGGAAGGAAGTGCCAAAGGGAAACCACTTCTGAAAACTGCAGGTACTAGACCAGGAAGTTGCCAGAAATGACTGACTCAAAGGCACACACAGAGACACAAAAAGGTTATTGAACTGTTGTGTCATGTTTGGAAGTTCATAGCTAGCTAGCTTTTTGAGTTAACGTTATCTGTGGTTTAGCAAAAATACGGTATTTTTCGGAGTATAAGACGTACCTTTTTTCCCCCAAAATGAGGGTGAAAATCTGGGTGCGTCTTATACTCCAAATGTAGCCCCACCCTGCCTCCCAAACGGAGATTTCAGAGGCTGAAAGAAGCCTCTGAAAGAAGCTTCAGAAAAAAAGCCTCTGAAAGAAGCTTCAGAAAAAAAGCCCTTTTTTCTGAAGCTGTTTCAGAGGCTTTCAGAGGCAGAAAAGAGTTTTTTCTGAAACAGAGTTTCAGAAGTTTCAGAGGCAGAAAAAAAAGCAAAAAAAAAGCAAGGCACAGACTCACAACCAAGGAACCTGTGCTTAAATTTACCTCTGGGAACAGCTGATTGGGGGTATTCCGGGAGGCTAATCCACGTGCCAATCAGCTTTTTTCTTATTTTCCTCCGCAAAAACTAAGGTGTGTCTTATACTCCGAAAAATATGGTAGATAATTTGTTTTGCACAGAGTTGTTCTCAGCGATTCACTTAATAACTAGGTAAGAAAGGTCATAAAAGGGGCAAAACTCATTTAACATATGTCTCACTTAACAACAGAGATGTTAAGCTCAAAAGAAGGAGCCTTGGTAGTACAGTGGTCTAAAGCACCCTGTTATTAAGATCAGCTGCCTGCAATTACTGCAGGTTCGAATCTCGCCAGGCTCAAGGTTGACTCAGCCTTCCATCCTTTCTAAGGTAGGTAAATTGAGGACCCAGTTGTGGGGGCAATAAGCTGACTTTGTATAAATATACAAAAGGATGAAGGCTATTGCTTAGCGCATTGTAAGCCGCCCTGAGTCTCCGGAGAAGGGTGGCATATAAATCAAATTAAAAAAAAAAATGTGGTCGTACGTTGGGACTACTTGTACATCTTTTTCTCATTCCCTTTGACTGTAAAGGAAGGAGAGAAAGAAAGAAAGAGAAAAAGAGAGAAAGAAAAAGAGAGAGAAAGAAAAAGAAAGAGAAAAAGAAAGAAAGAAAGAAGGAGGAAGGAAGGCTTTTTGCTGGATTTGCTGTACATGGAGGAAGTCTGTGTGGATTGGGCAGGCCTACAATCGGATCTAAGGAGTTATTAATGCATGTCATTTGTGTGGTTACATCATACTGTGTGTCATTTGAGGTCAACATGGATGCTACTCTACTATAGACACTGCCAGGGCTACAACTTGAACTGTAAAAAAAAGTACAGTCAAGTGCATCCACTAAGTTAGTGTTTTAAATTCTAGCTGTCTGGTGAATTGTGGAAGTTTAATTCCACACACCTCAAAGTTGTTAAGATTGAGAAATATTACATTCAGTGATCAAAATGTGGAGAACTTCGATGCCAAATTGGATGCACCCTATGTGAAATATTACTCTACTCTACTGAATTGATTAGTTGGCTTTCCTTTATTATGAGACGTGGGACAAGTTGTTTTTTTAATTCTGTCTTTTTAGCCTTCTCAGTTGCGTGGGCATCGTGTTTCAGATGTCTTTTTCTGTTAATAGATTTTGAAATTCTACAATACTTACAAGTACCCCATAGTTCAGTTGGTACCATAGGTTATTCTCAGGGATATAGGAATGGAGAAATCAGCTTCATAGTAAGACGACATTGTTCATTGTGCATGGCTTATGATGCTGCTGTTTTTCTTTCCATGTTGCTCAGTGTTCTGTTATGTCGGCAAAAAGAGAGCCAGTTAATATTGTGCAGGGAGATTTGGAGTATCTTCATAAAATCTTCCCTCAAGGATGTAATTCATTTCGTACCAGGCTGTCAGTGGAAGTAAATGAGTTCTTCATGAATATAAGCGGCATGAAGTATGTAAAATGTTCTTTCCGCAAGTTTTAAAACTTACTAAACTAGTTTTCTGTAAATTTCTTTTTCAGTTGCTAGCTGAACTCTGCAAACAAGGATATTCAGATGCTCTTAGATTTTTGAAAGAAAATGGTAGGTTACTGTTTTCAAATTTATTTACTTACTGTCTGTCTTGGGCTTCCCTCTTTCAAGATGTAGTTTGGGCTTTTGTCTCTTACCTATTTCTTAATAAATCTGATTTTTACTTCAGGTATGATGAATGCTGTTGGCTAAGCCCACACTGTGTCTAGTTGCTAGGAGTCAACAGTCAACATGGCACCCTCAGTCATTAAAAAAAAGTATTTTTGCATTCTGCTTCTATTCAGGAACACATCCTCCAACAAAGGTTCTTGCTGAATTTAAATCTCCAGGAAATTTGGGCCTGGAGCGATGCTCCTATTGGAGGTGGTAGATTATCTTCGGTTTAACATTTTTCTCCTCTAACACTTTGCTGGTTCAGTTTGAAGACTTCTCTCTGGCCCTTGAAGTTCCAACTATAGGACTCTTCCATTCATTCTCTCTCTCTCTCTCTTTCTTTCTTTCTTTCTTTCTTTCTTTATTTATTTATTTATTTCTTTCTTTCTTTCTTTCTTTCCTTCTTTCTTTCTTTCTTCCTTCCTTCCTTCCTTCCTTCCTTCCTTCCTTCCTTCCTTCCTTCCTCCCTCCCTCCCTTCTTTCCTTTCCTTTCCTTTCCTTTCCTTTCCTTTCCTTTCTTTTTCTTTCTTTTTTTCTTCCCTCTCTTCCTTCCTTCCCTCCCTCCCTCCCTTCCTTCCTTCCTTTTCTATAGCCATCCAACTAAACCAGGTAACTGGGTGGCTTACAATTCTAAAATTAAAATTTAAAAATATTAAAACAATAAAAACCATTAATTAAACAAAAAGGCACAAACAGCAGCCATGATGATTAATCAACTACAGGTAGTGCTCGACTTATACAACCACAATTGAGCCCAAAATTCCCGTTGTTAAGTGAGACATTTGTTAAGTGAGTTTTGCCCCATTTTACATTCTTTCCTGCCAGAGTTGTTGAATGAATCACTGAAGTTGTTACTCACTTGTCACCCAGTCGTTCAGTGAATCTGGATTCCCCATTGACTTTGCTTGTCAGATGGTCACAATAGGGGATCACATGACCCTGGGAGAACCAATTGCCACACATCTGAATTTTGATCACATGATCAAAGGGATGCTACAAAGGTGGTAACTTTGAAAAATGGTCATAAGTCACTTTTTTTTTCATTGCCATTGTCACTTTGAACAAATCACTAAATGAACTATTTACTTGTAATAGTAAAACTAAGTAACTGTACCTTTAACATGTTCTGAGCCCCAGGCCTGGATACATAGCCAAATTTTTAAAACTTTGAAAAAGCCAACCAGATTGGGGACCTTCGAATCTCCCAAGGAGAGAATATTCCATAAGACATGGGCTATATGCCTCTCCCCAAAAACCCATGGCCAGGATAGGGACGACAGTTAGAGGACTGGCCGAGGAGAGGAGAGGAGGGAAGGCAGGCCTGAGTCCTGAGCCTGCTACTCCTGATGTAGAAGTGCCATTGGCTGATGGCAGAGGAGGCAAAAACAATCCATGGAAGTTCTTCCTTAGTGCAAGTGGAGGAGTGGTGCTACTGCCAGGGGCGGGCTCCTGTGGGTTCAGTAGGGTTCGGGCGATCCTCTACCCAAGGATCGCCGGGGTTCGGTGAACCCCCAAATGCCACCCCTGGCTGGCCATGCCCCTCCAATCCCATCCCACCCTGCCCCTCCCACCCCACCCCTCCCAGGCCCCAAGTGCAGGGGCTGCACAGAGGGTCTGGGAGGGCAAAAAACGGGCCCACCGGAAGGACTCCGGAGCCCGGGGGAAGCTGTTTTCGCCCTCCCAGAGGCTCGAGGAAAGCCTCCGGAGGCTGGGGAGGGCGAAAACCTCCCCCGCCATGGTGCAGGTGGCCAACTAGTCCATGCCCACCATTGCCACACCCACACAGCAACGGGGCAGTGAACCCGTTGCTAAAGGATCTGAAGCCCACCCTTGGCTACTGCCCTGTCCGGTAGCTCTTCGGAGGGGGCACACTGCAGGCACCAGAGCATGTCAATTTTGGGTTTGGAGGCCCATCCTACACCATCAACCATGGTGTCACAGTGGTTAGAATGCAGTATTGGACTCCGCACTCCAGAGACAACAGGGGTTCATTCGGAAAACACTCTGACCAGGGGGAGTTAGTAACACAGGCTGAGTTACAATCAAGCCAGAGAGGATTCTTCCGAACGCAAAAGTAGTCCTTGAATTACCAACATTTGTTTAGCAGCCATTTCCAATTACATCGGCACTGAGCAAAGTGACATGACAATTCCTCATATTTACAGTGTATTGTAAATATGCATGTACAGTATTCCCCACTGCCATGTGATCAGATTTCCATTGCTTGGCAACTGGCGTGTAATTATGTTGTTTGCATTATTCTGGGATTGTTTGCAACCTTCCGAGCTAGCTTCCGTCAAACAAAGTCAAAGGGAGGGAAGCTGGCTTCGCTGAACGACTGCATGATTCACTTAATAAGAGCAGCGATTCGCTTTACAACCATGGTAAAAATGGTTGTAAAATCATTTACTTAACATTTGCTTTGCTTAGCCATGCCATTTCTGCTTCCGACTGTAGTTGTCAATCGAAGATTACCTGTACAGGTAGTCCTCAACTTACAACAGTTCATTTAGTGACCGTTCAAAGTTACAACAGCTCTGAAAAAAAGTGACTTGTGGCCGTTTTTCACACTTACGACCATTGCAGTATCCTCTTGGTCACATGATCAAAATTCCAATGGTTGGCAATTGGTTCATACTTACGATGGTTACATGTGCCCTGGGGTCACGTGATCCACATTTGTGACCTTCTGTTGTGGCCCGTCAGCGGCCTGTGCAGCTAGTAGCTGATTCTGACAACGAGGAGGCTGGTGTGGTGCTGCACCAGCAGCCTGTGCAGCTGGTACTCGAGTCGGACAATGAGGAGGCTGGAGAAGATGTGGTGCCAGAGGCGGGGATTCAGCCAGGGCCTTCAGAACCTCCAGAAGCTCCCATAAGTGAAGAGGAAGAAGAGGAGGAGCCTCTTCTCGAGGCACGGGCATCGCAGAGCTGCCAAAAGGCAGGAGGGGCTCCTCAGGAGAAGGTCTCCTCGAGAGTAAGGCTTGGGGCTAATTGGCCACTCCCTTAGCCTATTTAAGAAGGAACACCGACTGAAGCAATTTGCAGGGAACAACTTCGTTCACTCTCCTTCGCGTCCTGATCTTAGTTCTCTTATCAGCTTCCTGCAAATTGCTTCTGGGCTTTCTGCTAACCATAGTAAGATTACGATTATTTATTCTTTGGATTCTTGTAGGCTGTGAAGAAAGTTAATTAACAGCCTCTGTTTGAAAAAGGCTGATTTAATTTAGTAAACTAATGTTTGTACAGACTTTGTGTGTGCTGCGTTCTTTGGGGTCCAAAGCTGGGGCAGAACACCTGAAAAGCAAAGTCAATGGGGAATCCAGATTAATTTAACAAACGGGTTACTAACTCGACAAATGTAGTGAATCACTTTAACAGCCGTGGCAAGAAAAGTCATAAAATGGGATAAACTCATTTCACAAATGTTTCACTGAGCAATATAAATTTTGGGCCCAATTGGGTCGTAACTGGAGGGCTACCTGTATTCGATTTGACGGATTTGCCATTGAACGTACGCTGTTGGAAGTAGCATTGCGATTTTCTTCCTGTGATACTTTCATCCAATGAATATTGGCATTTTAAGCAACCCAAGCCTTACCAAAAATAAATATAAAAGTATAAAAACTATAAAGATATAAAACGAAATGTTTGCTAATTCATTGCCGTTTGCTAGCAAGAATGTCTCAGCTTTAAAAGTTGGAAGAAGCTGGTGGAAGTTACAACACAATTGCAAATAGCCATACATTCTTAGTCCAAGATTTGAAAATTAAGATTAGAAAAATCTTCGTGTTTTTTTTAAAACTGTCTGCATTTTATCTAGCTTGCTTTGTATACTGTCACTTATAGCAGAAGTACTTGGTTTTTTAAAAAAATCTATTTATTAAGGTTTTCTGCAAGAATCAGTGTCTGCCGACGTAGCCTTAACCAAGCAGGAATATCTGGGATATTCTCAAATCTCAGGCTGCAGTGATAAAAAAAATGCAGCAAATAAAGACAAAAAAGAGATGCAAGATGAAAAAGTATTTATTGATCAGCTAAAGGCAACATCTTGGCCATTGGATGGGACTATCTTTGAGAAGTTGCCGCCTAGACTACATAAAGGTAAAATTCTAAATTAACCAATTAATTAATTATTGCAAAAATCTATGTTTAATTCTTTAGCACTAATACGCAGAGACCAGACAGAATGTGCTGCTTGTTTGATTTCCCCCTAATTTGTACTGAAGCGTTTTAATTTACTGTCTAAACAAGACTGGAGAGATTTATCAATTACCTTTAGCTGGCCAAAAGTGTAAGCAGGCCATTCAAGGGGCTGCTTTGAAGGTTTCATGAATTAATTTACCGTATTTTTTGGAGTATGACGTACCTTTTTCTCCCAGAAAAGAGGGTGAAAATCTGGGTACGTCTTATACTCCAAATGTAGCTCAGCCCAGCCTCGCAAACAGAGATTTCAGAGTCTGAAAGAAGCCTCTGAAAGAAGCTTCAGAAAAAAAAACCTCAGAAAGGCTTTTATCTAAAATAATATGGCAAGCAACAAAAGAAGAATCAGTAAAGGTTCTAAACAAACTATGCTAACAAATCTGGAGAATGACACAATAACCAACAGATCGGAAGAGGTTAATCTACATACCAATACCAAAGAAAGAAGATTGAACAGAGTACAGATAGTCCTTCAGAAAAAAAGCCTCTGAAAGAAGCTTCAGAAAAAAAGCCTCCAAACAGAGCTTCAGAAAAAAAGCCTTTTTTTTTCTGTAGCTCTGTTTCGGAGGCTTTCAGAGGCAGAAAAAAAAGTTTTTTCTGAAACAGAGTTTTAGAAGTTTCAGAGGCAGGAAAAAAAAACAAGGCACAGAACTGACAACCAAGGAAACTGTTGTTAAAATTCACCTCTGGGAACAGCTGATTGGGGGTATTCCGGGAGACCAATCCACCTACCAATCAGCTTTTTTCTTATTTTCCTCCACAAAAACTAAGGTGCGTCTTATACTCCGAAAAATACGGTACTTGAAAAATTTTGTTTCAAAATTTACATTGGTGAACGTCATCCATTTTGCACTGATGAATTTTGGTTGCTGAATGTTCCAGAAAAGGGGGGCAAAATAAACATATAATCGAATAAACTAGATTAACCATCCCCCTTTATACTGTTTGTGATTCATTTGTCATCTAGATATTGTGGGAAGACATGTTGATTTTAAGTTAATTTTGGCTGGAACTATTGGATGATTTAGATGTGCAGAGTGGCAAGCCTCTTGACAGCCCAAATTGGCTTCCTGGTGTCACAGAATGATTTTTCTATGAATCCATTTTAGTTAGAGATTAGACAAACTGAGGTAATCCAATGTCTTTAATTCACAATGCTAGAATGATCCAGAGTCTCTTGACTCAGGGAATTTGTGGTTATTGATTCCCAGTAAAAGAGGACTAAAATGAATGAGAAGTTGTATAAAGCAAAATGTAATTTGATGATAACCTGATTATGAGCCACGGTGGCGCAGTGGTTAGAGTGCAGTACTGCAGGCTACCTCCGCTGACTGCCAGCTGCCTGCAATTTGGCAGTTCAAATCTCACCAGGCTCAAGATTGACTCAGCCTTCCATCCTTCAGAGGTGGATTAAATGAGGACCCAAATTGTTGGGGGCAATAGGTTGACTCTGTAAACGGCTTAGAGAGGACTGTAAAGCGGTATATAAATCTTAAGTGCTATTAGAATACTAGAGGGTCCTACTCGGTCATTTCAGATGAGAAAAAGTTGATGATGTCCTAGCCATATTTGTTCTTGCTTGATCGTCCATGAATGAATTCAATTCTGATGATTTAAATTTTACAGCATTACAAGAGGCTTGTAAAGAAAAAAGTGGACTCTACGCTCAACTTTCAAAATTTCTTCCCATGCGACTAATGTCCTACATGATGCTACCGTACACTTTACCGGTTGAGTCTGCCTTCTTTGTGGCCATAAGGTGAGTGTATATGATCTAATTTCCAAATGTTCAAGATATAAAGTTTACATCTGGGTTATTCTTCCAAAAAAATTTCCTTATTCGCTTTGAGGCAGATTTTCTTACAGATGTCCAAAATACCTTGCAGGTTAAATATATTTATTTATCTATTTGCTAGATTTATATCCCACCTTCATTTTATGCAACTGCAGGCAGTGTACATAATGGTCTGTCTTCCTATTTTTCCCCATAACAACAACCCTGTGGGGTGGATGAGGCTGATAAACCTGGTTTCTTGCCTAGGTTTGAAGATGAGAACTCATTGTCTCAGTGTTTCTAGTCCAGCATCTTATAAACTGGTTCTCTATATGTTGCAAATAAATGATGTTCTTGAGCCTAGAGCAGGGGTGTCAAACTCGATTTCATTGAGGCTGCATCAGGGGTGTGTTTGACCCCGGGGAGGCCGGGTGGGTGGGTGGGCCTGGCAAGGGCGGGCATGGCCAGCTCAACATCACTCGTTTCGGGGGCTCCTCTGGTGGCTTGAACGCTCTGACAGCGAAAACAGGCTCCTGAGCTCCATTTTCGGCTGTGACGGCCTCCTGAAACCCCATGCCAGCAAAAATGGAGCTCCGTTTTTGCTGGCAAAGGCACTGTGGGCTGGTCCTTTGCTGTTTTCTAGGCGGCTCCTTGGGCCAGATCTAAGCACCTCGCGGGCCGGCCCCCAAGCCTTGAGTTTGACACCCCTGAGCTAGAAGAAAGTTGCTCATAGCTTGTTTGTAATGTAAACCTATTTAAGAGTAAGACAGTGGTGGTATTCAGCTGGTTCTATCCAGTTTGGGCAAACCGGTAGCGGCGGTGGGAAGCTCCGCCCATCCGCCTGGACGTAATGCATGTGCGCACTCACATTTGTGAATTGGTGGCAAAGATAAGTGAATACCACCCCTGGAGTAAGCCCATTGAGCTCACAGGTCTTAACAATAAGAAAACTTGCCATCTTGTGAGTTCATGGCTGAGATTGGATTGGTCTTTGGTTTGTATTACTCTCTCTTAATTCCTGTTTGTACTTATAAGAACATGTGGTGGCGCAGTGGTTAGAAAGCAGTACTGCAGGCTACTTCTGCTGACTGCCAGCTGTCTACAATTTGGCAGTTCGAATTTCACCAGGCTCAAGTCTTCCATCCTTCCAAGGTTGGTAAAATGAGGACCCAGATTGTTGGGGGCTGACTCTGTAAACCGCTTAGAGAAGACTGTAAAGCTCTGTGAAGCGATATATAAGTTATTGCTATTGCTATCAAATGTATAATGTGTATACAGTTTATATTTACCAGTAACAGGAGAATCACAAATATATGCATTTTCCTGAGGTTTTTTTTTTGTGTTCAACTTCATAAATAAACATATTATGTATATACTTTTTAAAAAATCCCATACCTATGTTTTAGTCACAGCCTTAATATCTATTTAGGTCCATTATTTGCACCTGGCAGGAATGCACCTATGAAAATCTCACCCTTTTGTTATTTTTACTTTTAAAACAGAATTAAATACTTTTTAAATTCTTTTGTTTTTAATACAGAATTTAAAAAAACAAAACAATAAATACTGTACTTTTCAGAGTATAAGACACTTTTTCCCCCCTTAAAAGAGGGTGGAAATGTCGGTGCGTCTTATAGACTGAATACGGCCATTTTTGGCCTCCCGAAACCCTGCCCTGCACGTCCGGTTTTTGCCAAAAATGCCAAAAATGGTCCCGTTTTTTGCAAAACGTGCAGAATGTTTGGGAGGCCTGCAGAGCACTCCTAGCACCTGGGGAGGGCAAAAACCGGATGCGAGGAGGCCAAAAACTTATTTTTTTTTCTTGTTTTCCTCTCTGAAATCTTATTGTGTCATACTCTGCTGCATCTTATAGTCTGAAAAATATGGTACTTCTTTCCTTATAAAAATTTAGCTGATACCAGGAAAGGAGATGTTTTGGGTGAACATTTTAAAAAGAAGTCCTGAACTACTTTGTTTTCAAGAACCGCTTCCTTTCTCTTGATTGCAGATTGGTCCAGTGGTTTCCTGACATCCCTGAGGATGTGCGATGGATGCAGGGGCAGCTTTCCCAAATGATGGGTTCAATCTATGGCCGAGCAATGAAAGAGCTCCTGAAGACCCCAAGGTATGTTTGGCTGCTTCTTTGGCCAAGCACAGGAAAAATATTTTAGAGAGCATAATGGAATTGGACAATCTCCAGAAAATGTGTATGACGATATCATTTTCTCCACCTGAAATGATGGGGGTGGAGGTAGGAATTAACTCCATTTTGAGTAATTCCTTGGTGATGTACTGCAGCTTCTCTTCCACTTTGCCGTGCCGTTTTGCCTGTTCTAAATGGCTACAGATTCTCTATTTAAAGAAAAACGTAATGTTTAAAGAATGCAAGAAAGAGCGCAGAGAAAAACAGCAAAGATGATTAGGCGATTGGGGGCTAAAACATATGAAGAATGCAGGAAGGAATTGGGTATGTAAAAGGGACGTGGTGGCTCAATAGCTAAGATGCTGAGCTTGTTGATGGAAAGGTCGACAGTTCAGCGGTTCGAATCCCTAGTGCTGCATAATGGAGTGAGCTCCCATTACTTGTCCCAGCTTCTGCCAACCTAGCAGTTCAAAAGCACGTAAAAAATGCAAGTAGAAAAATAGGGACCACTTTGGTGGGAAGGTAACAGCAGTCCGTGCGCCTTTGACATTTAGTCATGCCGGCCACATGACCACAGAGACATCTTCGGACAGCGCTGGCTCTTCGGCTTTGAAACGGAGATGAGCACTGCCCCCTAGAGTCAGGAACAACTAGCGAGGGGAATATGACGCACATATGTGCGAGGGGAACCTGTACCTTTTAGTTTAATGAAAAGAAAGGCTGGGGTGACATGATAGCAGTGTACTATTGACCAATGTCTGAGAGGCTAACACAGTGAAGAGGAGGTTGGCTTATTCTCCAGAGTTCCAGAGGTCAGGAAAAGAAGTAATGTGTGGAAGAATATGAAAGAGAGAATCCACCTAGAACTAAGGAGGAACTGTCTGATAGTACAATTAATTGGTGGGATGGGTTTCCTTCAAAGATTGTGGGTGCTCCATCACTGGAGGTTTCCAAGAAGAGTCTGGACAGCCATTTGTCTTGAACAGCATAGGGCCGTGATGGAGAACCTATGGCACGCATTCCAGAAGTGGCACGTAGAGCCCTCTCTGCTGGCACGCACGCCGTTGCCCCAGGTCAGATCTCCGTGGCGTTTCTTTCGTGAGCTTCTGTTTCCCTGCAAACGACAAAACAGAAGCTCACTCAAGAACGGTGTTGGGATGCCCCGCCTCCTGCCAGCCAGCTAGCTAATCTTCAGGTCTTCGCTGTGCATGTGCACATGTCTGCATGTGCATATTCACGCATGCAACTGCGCATGTCCGCACATGTGCAGTCTCGCATCTTTCAGTTTGGGCATGCGGGCACAGTTTGGGCACTCGGTGTCTAAAAGGTTAGCCATTACCGGCATAGGGTCTACTGCTTGAGCAGAGGGAAAGGCCTCCAACGGCTCTTCCAACTCTGTCATTCTGTTATTTCTCCCATTAAAAACAATTCCAAGACTTACTAATGATTATTTCTTGTTCTTGCAGCAAAGTAAGTGAAATCTTGCTTCGAAAATGCCAGACGGCCCCAGGGAAGCCTTGCCTTCATCTGTCCTACCCACCTCCTAAAGCCTCTCAGTCGTCCCCCAATCTTGAAGAATGGCTCTGGAGTCTCCCCTATTGCGAAGACTTGATGAAGGAGAAGGGTGCAGTTAGTAATTCCGACATCTCTGATTCTGTCGCTTCCTTTTTCATGGACACCGAAACATCTGGAATGTCTACGGATATTGACTCCTCCTCTGAGAAAAGTTTTTATTCTGTCTCTGAAGATTAGCTTGGGGGTGCTACGACATTTAGGCAGGGAAATTCACACCTTTGAGGTATGTGTTCTGCTAGCACTTGGCCAAACAATCTTTAGGATGCTGCTTCTCGATCTGAGCAACTTTGAGGTGCTAAGTGGAACTGGACTTCAATTCAGCACCGTACTTACTACATCTGAATTCTGGGAGTTGAAGCCCACCCATCTGAAAGTTGCTGAGGTTGGGAAACACAACTTTAGGAAGTCTTTGTTTACAACTCGGTTGCCTTTGAGGCATCTTTTCTGGCTTCAAGGCATGTAGGCTTCTTGTCTAGTTTCTGGATAGTGGACGAAGGGTTGAAAAAGCCGAAACGCAAAATAGAGCATTATTGCACCCAAATGAAAAAAAATTCAGCAGGAAGACAATCTACATCTCTGTTGATGGTTTTATATTGGGATTAGCATTTGTAGCACGATGTTAACTTTTTTTTTTTTTGGGTTTTAAAAAAAAATTTTTTTACAGCAAGATCTGTAGCTCTTGTGTAACTTTTTAAAAAGGTTTTTTCCTCCGCACTTGTGTGGAACTACACATCTCCTACTTAAAGAGATCGAGAATACAGGGCCTTTGAGGAGCTCCTTTTTTTAACTTGACGTACCTGGCAGAGAGTATCATTCAAAATGAAGAGGATACCCTGCCTACTACAAGTAGGCAGATGGGGAGCAGAAAGAAACGATGTTCGATACCCTTATTTTTTAAACGGGGGAAAAAACTTATTTTTCATTAAAAATGTATTGTTTATATTATTAATATTAATATAGGGGATGTTGAAGAATTTCTAGATGTCCCAATTTCTCCTCTTTTTATTGGACTTTTCCTGAAATTAATCTCAGGATTAATGGAATGAATCACTTTTTTTAAAATTTGAAACTCCTTGACTGCCACAAGGAAAGCAAAGGATTTTCTAATTTGGGATGGAGGGCTCTCCAAAATCTCATAAAAACACACAACACACAAGTACACACACACTTTTACTGCCAGAGAGGCTTTCATCTGCTATTTTTTTGGTTCTTGAAGTTCACTAAACACGCCACCTTTAAGATGGAAGCCCTCCAAAAGTGTAGATTCATTTCCCAGAATTCCCAAACAGCATGATCTTTACTGAGAATTCTGGGAGTTGAAGTCCACCCATCTATGAATGTCCTACAACAGATGTGTTTTCTTAACCTTGGCAACTTTAATATACGTGGACTGGGGGATTCTGGAAGTTGAAGTCCACATGTCTTAAAATTGTCAGAGTTGAGAAACACTGCTCTGGAGTGTTGTATCTAAACCAGCATTTTATTTTTTGTGAATGATGTAGACTTTACATCTAGATATCTTTAATTCAAATGAATAAGATGAACCATACAAAATAATTCATTGGTGGAAGAGAGATGCAGGTTTTTTAAAAAATTAACATTTATTATCTTAGTGAGCTTGAGAGCAGATGTCACTAAGAAATATATTGTTCAGTTTCCTTAACAGGAGAAAGTAATAGAAATCTATAATGCGATTTGGAATTTGTGGATATTAATTTATTAACTTGATTTACCTCAGAACAAGAAATGAGCGAAGGCATTCAGAACAGGAAACTCATATGATTTCTGCATTTTCTTCCTTTTAAATTTAAATTATAAATAAAATCCATACATTATTCAGTCCAGGTTTTATGAACACGCATGCAACTTAAGCCTTAATTTTCAATAATAGTAGGAAGCGACAATAATATGCCATCATAAATCAGCCCTATTTCAAATGGATTCAATAATTTCTTTGGAATATGGTACTTCATACTTTGTGTGTCAGTATTTGCTGCATAAAGTGACAGGAATTCTTGAACATGGTGCACAATATTAAAATTGTATTTTGGGAAATCAGACTTTTGCTATGGGTAACTTACCAGCTCTGAACTTTGGCACTGCAATGGGTTTAAGTGTCAGTAATGGCAATCCCTTATTAGACTATTTTCTTCTAAGGTTGGAGTTAGGTTGGAGACTTGTTACAAATTAAGCGGAGAATAATATCCCCATAGGAACCCAACTAGCTGCTTTTATTTATTTCAAATTCATTGTCGACTTTTTAGCAGGTTTTATTTTGACAAAATACCTAATCTTTAAGAGTGTTTTTCTTTTTGGCATTTTAAAGAAAATCTAAGTAATGCTGAGTGGAGAGGAGTGGAATGAAATGTAGTTAAAACAGTTTTTTCAGAGTGTTAAAACGTTTAATAGCATGGACACAGACTTATTTATATTCTTCTGGTGCTATTTTTAGCCAGTGCCGAAGTACTGTTTTGTGTGACAGCTGGTCATACTTATTTTCCTAAACTTTTATTGTATTTCCAAAATGAACTATTTGTTATATTTCTGCAATCAGCAGTGTTTTTAAAGAAGCAGAATAAAGAGATGCTGTGTTTTGGTGATCACTGTGTTTTGTTCATTATCACAAGCCAAATGCTTAATTGCTGGATAGAACCGCTTTATGAGGTGATCTATGAATATACTGCATTTCTGTACCGTTTTAATTGTTTATAATGCTGCAAGTTGACATTTCACTCATTGTCAAAGCAGTAAACATTGTGTTTCTATGAGCAATTTTTTACTCATAAGAATAAAAAAATGTACTTCACAAATGGTAAAGTGTTCCTTTCTATAATTCTTTTTCCCTTTTTTCACAGTGATTTAACAAATACAAATAACGGTTTATGCAATCTAATCCTTTTCATAAAAAATTCAAATGACTGGAAAACGTAAAACCCATGCAGAGTATTTGGCTTTGTTTTAACATTTTATGAATCGTATTCTGAGTGGTCCTTAAACAAAGACATTTTGGTGGGGAGGCAAGGTGGAGGTGTTAAACTTAGTGCAAAATCCATGTGCATATACACAAAAGGATTATAGCTCTCCTTCAGTAATTATCTGGGTTCAGAGTTCTTTCTAAATTTGTCAAAACGTCTTTATTTTTTAAAGCGTTGAAAAGAAAATGCAGGCTGCGGCAAATGGAACACAGAAAACTATTAAAAATGAATTTATAGGAGACATTGAATAGGTAAATGGTTCAGAGCAAAATTGTTTAGCTGCAGTTTGTAGTAAATGGAACACAAAATAGTAGCCTTATTGTACATAGATTACCTTCAATAAAATAAGTAACAATATTTAGAGGTGCTATGACTTTGGAATAAAACATTCCTGGTGATCTTGGCTTCCAATAATTCAGCAAAGTTGAACCTCTCACGCTAAGTGTTCAGGAAATTCAATGGTTTAGATTAGACTGAGAAGTTGAAATTATGTCTCGAGCGAACAATTCCATTCTGTGACCATGAAAATATACAGGGATATATCCATGAAATCATCAGAAGCCAAACTCAACTTGGAAAAAAGCTTTATTAGTGTGAAACTGAAGTATAAGCATCATATCAACCACAAAGCCTTTAAGTATAATTTTGAATTGGTAGAATGTATGGCTCCAGAAAGTTTTGGAACTTTATTATAAATCATCATCCTCTTAATCCCTTGCGGGGTGGAATCTGGGCAACTGAATGGAGCTGAGTGTTACTGGCCGGAGTGTTACTGGCTGGTGGCCGGATGCCCTTCCTGTCACCAATGAAGAGGTTTTTTCAGCAGATATATTCTCTGTCTGCCAAGAGAGAGAAATATCTGCCTCTACTTCAGTGATGAAATTCAATTTTTTTTACTACCAGTTCTGTGGGCGTGCCTCGGTGGGCGTGGCAGGGGAAGGATACTGTAAAATCTCCATTCCTTCCCCACTCCAGGGGAAGGATATTGCAAAATCTCCATTCCCACCCCACCCTGGGGCCAGCCAGAGGTGGTATTTACTGGTTCTCTGAACTCAAAATTTCCGCTACCGGTTCTCCAGAACCTGTCAGAACCTGCTGGATTTCACCCCTGCTCTACCTAGGATCAAACTCACAGCCTCCTGATTGTGAGGCGAGAGCTCCACCTCTAGCCACCGCACCACAACCTTATCAAATAAAACCCTAAAAAGCTTAAAAGAGGAAAAATACAAGAAATAGGGGCACATCAACAAAGAAGAATAAGTAGTCTTCGGAAACTATAGAAGTACTTTCAAAATGGCTGGTGCACAGAATGAACTGAAACTGGAGCAGTTACAAAAACAAGGCTACTTTTCATAAAATAGAAATAAAAGCCAAAGATTATATGGGTCTATCATGAGAAATAATCAAAATGAGAAGGCAGAACTTCATACCTCAGAAGGGAAATGGAGCACCGACTGGTGATCCTTATGCTGCCGAGAGAAGGAGGAAATTGAAGTTTAGGATACACACAAAAAGGGACTAAGAGAGGACTTGGCTAATTTAAACGAATTCAAGTCTTCAGGACCAGATGCTTGAAGGACTAGAAGAAATGACTCAAGTATCACTCTTAGAAATCCTGGAGAATTCCTGAAGGACCAATGAGGTCCCAGAAGATTGGAGGAGAGAAAGCGTCTTCCTAATTTTCAAAAGGTAGAAGGAAGAGGACCTTTGGAGTGACGAAGTGCTACCAGCAAGAATGAGCATAGTTCTTTCATGTAGACATTCTGTCAGATTAAATTTATCCTCTTGTTTTGATAGAGTGATTAGCTAAGTGGCTTGGGGCAATGCTGCAGCCATAGTATCTATAAGGTAAAAGGTAAAGGTAAAGATTCCCCTCTCACATATGTGCTAGTTATTCCTGACTCTAGGGGGCGGTGCTCATCTCCCTTTCAAAGCTGAAGAGCCATCGCTGTCCAAAGACATCTCCGTGGTTATGTGGCCGGCATGACTCAACGTCAAAGGCGCATGGAACGCTGTTACCTTCCTACCAAAGGTGGTCCCTATTTTTCTACTTACATTTTTTATGTGCTTTCGAACTGCTAGGTTGGCAGAAGCTGGGACAAGCTCACCCCATTACGTGGCACTAGGGATTTGAACCGCTGACCTGCCGACCTTTTGATGGACAAGCTCAGCGTCTTAGCCACTGAGCCGACTGCATCCCTCAATAGTATCTGTAGATCTAAGCAAGGCTTTAGATGGAGTGATTCATTACATTCTCCTTCAAAATGTGGCAAATGGGTAAAATATGGCCAAATGATGCGGTGAGAAGGACACGTGGTTGGCTGAATGGAGCACTCAGAGAATGAAACACCTGTGACTGGTCTTCAGAACATAACATGGAGGCCCAATGGACTTCTATTCTGCATGTTTTCAATGAGCTTGGATGAGGGAGTTGAGGGGGCATATAAAAAGTTGACAGGTGACACAAAGCCGAGATAGGTGGCCTTTCAGGACTCAAAAAAGGTCTAGGAAGGATTCAGCTGACGGCCAAAATAAATATGATGGCATTTAATAAGAAAGATATTTATTTATTTATTAGTCATATTTCTATGCTGCCCACTCTCCGAGGACTCTGGGCGGCTTACACCAAAGACAGTATACTAAATAGTATATTGCCCCCAACAATCCGGGTCCTCATT